ATTCAGTAATGATTTATTTTCACAAAAGACAGACCAGCCTGACCCAAGCTGCCTCTCCTTTTATGTATTAATGTATCTTTCTTTTCTCCTCAAAATATAACAGGCCAGAAACTTAGCAGGTAAGGACGGAAATGAGATCCATTAAAGTAGTTCCCTTATAAGGTATTCTTGAAAACACCTCTCATGTTTTCACTCAAGTGGGTATGTTGGACAAATAGGAAATACTTTGTAGTTTACATGAAGAATGTGAGCAAAATCCACTAGGTGGTGGACACCCTTTCTTAAGAAGTGTTCATGATGTATTTGGTTATTATCAAAGAGTATGTCTGCCATAAAAGAACATACAGCTATTTTCTCCGACACGGGTAGGTGGGGAGGGAATGAACGAAGGGGTGCTCTTCTGTATGAGTGTCCATATGCTTACTCTAAGGTGAATAAATAAAGTTGTGTTTGCTCAAACTGGTCCCTGTCCAGTCTGTTTTCAGTGATACGGGGGAAACTGCGTCAGACAAATACAGAATTTTTCCCCCATACCACTTTCCATAGATGCAAAGATGTAAGGCCGAGGTAATTTGGTAATTTGCTTTTAGAATTTTCAGGTTCATGTAACATTTGCTGGAAACACTTCAAGATTACATACAGGAACCTACAAGAACTCAAGATCCAGACAATATTATTGTCTGTTCTGCTACAATAAAAATATTTGGGGGCAGAAAACGTCTGACAGGCAGCCACAGGCAGCCGAAGGAATGTCTGTTGATAATGTTCTCATGTTGGAGTTCTGTGATCCACTGTCAAGAAGGGGAGAGATTACACAGTGAGAACCCGAGGCAGGCAGTGAGGGGAACACGGTGCCTGGTGCCCTGGCAGAGCCTACATCAGTCAGTAGCTCCGGGAGCCCTTTCCTGTGCCTACCGCATGGCCATGCACCTGGCTAGCACTCAATAAATACTGACTGTGAATACAGCCTTGAGTCCGCAGCTAAAATAATGTGGTGCCAATTTTTCCATAAATCAACAAGTCAGCTAGAGGTAAGAAAGCAAGGGGAGTGATCGAACCGGCTGCAGGAGTGATTTGAATAGGGAAGATTAAACCACGTGGAGCTCCATCAGACAGTGATGAAGAGGCTGTGTGGCCACTATTTACAAACATCAGAGGCTATAAATGCCAAAGGAGTGAGGGAACGGTTCTATTCACTACTTGACAGGTTTACTGTGGTTATTGGCAACCAACACGCAGTTAATTGTTACAGTTCTCTGTTAATTTATTCATGTAGATGCCGCTAGCAGGGAATTAGAAAATCCTTTGGGGTTTCCAGCGTCTCACAGCCCACAGTGACAGCAGGCACAGTCGGGCCTCGTGGCCTCGTTGATGAGTACGGAGGACTCTTCTAGGTTCTGGATTCTCATCTTGCTCCCTTCCTGACAGCCTTGCTCACTTTGAGTTTTTTGCTCTTTAGCTCTCCCATTTCCTTCTGTATCTACAAACAGCAGACTTTTTACTATTTGGAACTATTTCCCTTCTTTTTTTCATAGATGTCCCCCATTTCCAAACCTTTGCTCCCCTCCACCCAGTCCCCGCCCCCCGCATCCCCCCCAACACATTGTTTTGGGGGCCCTGTGCATAAAGGCGAATATGTTTTTTGGCTAATCTCTTCCAGTCCCCGCCCCTCCCCTCTGAGATCTGTCAGTCCGTTCCATGTATCTATGCCATTTTGTTGTCAGCTTATTCCAGCCATTAAATTCCACATGTTAGTGAAGTCATGTGGTATTTGCCTTTCTCTGACGGGCTCATTTTGCTCAGCATACTCTCCGGGTCCATCCATGCTATTGCAAAGGGTAAGAGTTCCTTCTTTTCTACAGCAACATAATAATCCTTGCTGTAAATGTACAACTTTTTTACCCACTCATCTATTGATGGGCATTTCAAGTCATACCTGCTTTCTGACTAAAAATCCCATGAAAGTGCTTCTGTGAAGTTTCTCCTAAACGGAGAGCAAAAGACATGCTCACCCTTTCCTCTCAGAACCAAAGTCTAGGCAGCATTGCCTCTCCCAGCAATTTGCTGCCCCTGAATTGCCCCCACAGAGCACAGATATCTAGGATCCAGGAGACGGAGTCCCAGTTCAGAGCTAGTTCTGCCCCAGGAAAGACTAACATAGCAGTTGATACTATGATTGAAAATTCCATCCCACTTCTCTCAAACACATCAGTATAACCCACCCACCAAGCCACATGAGAGAAATTGGTGATGATAATCGCATAGCCACTGAGGGCAGGAAAATAGTAGGGAATGTTTCACATACACGTTATATGACAGGAACTTAAAACTGGCAAAAGACAACCATGATAATACCTCATACACTGGGGTCCAGCAAATTAGCAGCATACCCCTTCTTCAGCACGCAGCGTGTCTCAGTGATTTGGAGGTTACCCCCTCTCCCTGGGGCGTGCTGGCTTCCCATGGCCGTTTGCAGTCGTCTCTGTCACCGTTTGATGAGTCCTGGGAGATCACCACGACACTGAGTCTGGAGCTTTCCGGACTTGGAAAGGAAAGACGTTTTTCTTTTCTTAACAACTAGCAAAACAAATGGACAGCAATAACAAAATAAACCAACGACAGGGAAATAAACCTCAGGCAACAATCGCCAAATCAGGATTAAGGAAAATTGGATGTCACTTAGGGCCCAAGTGCCGTTCTACTTAGTTCCTTCCAAATAACCTGGGCTGCCAATTAGAAACAGATCTCTGGGACACACTGCTGATCTATAGAATCAAAACCTCTAGGGAGACATTTGGGAATGAAACAAATCTCTGTTCTCCTGGAGCTGATAGCCTGCTGGACGGGAAAGATAAGTAATTAGATAAATAGCTAGTTACTGACAAGTACTAGAAAAAAACATAAAGCAGGGTGTCATTATTAATTTGGATGGCATAGGAAGGTGACCCAAGGAAGTCATATTTAAGAAGAACCCTGACTATGGAGGGAGCCACGTGAACATCTCGGGGGAGACCATGCCAGTCAGAGGGTTGCGTGTGAAGCCTTCTGGGCGGGGACTTGCTGGAAAGTTTGAGGAAATGTTAATGTGTCAGGCATAAGAAAGAGAACAGTAAGGCTGAGGTCAAGTTAAGCAACAAGCAGTTTCTGCTTTTCCAGAGGGCCTTACAGGCCACGTGAGATATTTTTCTTTCCTTCTGTGCAAGATATATCCACTCTTAGAAGCCACTGGTAACAGCAAGGCCGCGGTCATTCTTGTGCTCACGGTGAAGTGGGAAGCTGTGGAAGACCTTTGTTCACCCAAATCCCAAGCGCCCTGAGAGAGCGATAAGGCCGTCTGGGAAAATCAAACAGGACTGGGGCTAGCATCCCCACAGATAGAACTAATTTTCACATTTGGCCTTTGTACTCTGCTTCTGCCCCGTAGATAGAACTAATTACCGCATTCCGCTTCTGTATCCCGCTTTGCTACGTAGACGGGAAGACCCCGTAGGCTATATAAACCCCAAGAATCCTTTGTTTGGGGCTCAGAATTTGGAGACTGACTCCTCTAGACCTGTGCACGTTAATAAACCTCGTACTCCAGAATCCCTCTGTGTCTGGTTGCTTCATTATCCTGTAACAATGGTAGAACTAAACCTATCCAACCGAAGGCTTAGAGAGGGTGAGTGGTCTTCACGGAGCAGGGGCAGGGGCTGTAAAGGTTTCCAAAATAGTTCAGGTAACAACTCATTTATTAGGGACCCTGCACTTGCTTCAGGGAATGTTCTTAGGAGGAGCAATACAAGAATGAAGTCAAGAAGATGCCATGAAAAACAGGGTGTGGAGGTGCTGTGGTCTGAAGCTGTTGCCCTCCCTAAATTTACATGTTGAAACCTAACCCACCAAG